AGGAAGAACAGAGAATGACTGAGCAAAGGGAGAGGGGTGGGAGAAGCTAAGGCTAAGACACAGCATCCATCTCCCATCTGTTTTACATCTGGGGTTAGAAGTAAGACACAGCTCTAAATGATAGGGAGAGCCTCAAAGACGAGCCTAAGAACAGAGGGTTGTGGAGAACCTGCATCTCTCATCTGCCCCTCTCTCCCATCCAAGCCTTGGTGGGGGATGGTGAGGGTGGGGGGTTGGGGTGGCAGTAGGTGGGGAGGGGGGGTGCATTCCAAGAGGATGAAACCCAGGTGGTGAGCAAGCCAGAGGCAGAAAGTGAGTTGATGTTCTGGCCTCTTTTCAGCTAATAACCAAACATTTGCTTCAGTTAAGGAACAGTTATTTCCTGGTATCGAGACGGTACCAGGAAATAATTAAAGACATTTATACAGATGTGGCTTTAAGATATTTATCACAGTGTTGTTTATAACAAAAGTAAATTTTAAAAAGTTTTAAAAAGGAAAATGCCTAAATATCCAAGAATGGAGGATTGGTCAAATAAATAATGCTGTGCCTACACAGGTAAATATTACGAAACAATTTAAAATCATAACAGAAATGTGTTTATTGCCATGGAAAAAGTGTCTTAACATATTAAGCGAAAGGCAGCTGGTTATGAAATAGTCTATACAGGATACACATACTTTGGTAGACTTGCAGACGTTCTCAGTTCTCTTTTTGCTCATTTTTTTTTTCAACCTATTATCTAGCTATAGAAAAGTTACATTAAAAAAAAAAACAGAACCCAAAATTCCTATCAAAATCCCAGAAAGATATTTTGTAGATTATTCTAAAATTTATATGGAATTAAAATAGTAGAATAATTTTTTTTAAGGAATAAAGTGGGAAGAATCATTCTATGTGATTTCAAGATTTACTATGCACTTACAGAAATCAAGATTGTGTGGTATTGACAGAGACACACATAGGTCAATGAAACAGAAGAGAGAACCCAAAAACAGACCCACACAAATATGTTCAAATGATTTTTGACAAAAGCGCAAATGCAAGTAATAGTGGGAAAATAGTCTTTTAATGAATGGTGCTGGAGCAATCGGACATCTGCGGGGGGAGGGAAACAAAGAACCTTGACCTAAGTCTCACATCTTATAGGAAAACTGACTCAAAATGGATCACGAACTTAAATGTAAAATATGAAAATATAAAACTTTCAGAAAAAAAGTAGAAAATCTTCAGGGCCAAGAAAGAGTTCTTAAACACAACCTCAAAAGCACAATCCCTAAAAAGAAACTGATACATTGACTTCATTAAAAATAAAAGCTTTTGCTCTGAAAAAGACCCTGTTGTAAAACAAGCTACAGAGTGGGAGAAAATATTTGCAAACCATGTATCTGACAAAGGATGAGTATCTAGACTATGTAAATAACCTGCAAAAACCAAACAATAAAAAAAATGGAACAGTCCAATTCGAAAATGGACGAAAGACAACAAAAGACATTTCACCAAACAAGATATACAAGTGACCAGGAAAGCACATGAAAAGGTGTTCAAAAAGATAAAAGAAAAGATATTCAACATCCTTAGTCATTAGAGAAATGCAAATTAAAATCATAATGAGATATTACTACACACCTATCAGAATGGCTAAAATAAAAAACAGTGGCATCACCAAATGCTGGGAGATATACAGACGCTGGATCACTCCCGCATTGCTGATGAGAATGTAAAATGGGAAAGCCACTCAGGAAAACAGTATCTTAAAAAAACTAAACATGCTGCTATGATAGACCCCAGCGATTATACTCCTGGGGATTTATCCTAGAGAAGTGAAGACTTATGTCCACACCAAAATCTATACATGAACATATATAGCCGTTTTATTCACAGTAGCTCCAAACTGGAAACAACCCAGAGGTCCTCCAAAGGGTGAAGGTTAATCGGGCAGTGGTGCATCCGTATCATGGACTCAACAGCAAGAAGGAAGAAAGGATCGATAAAACAACCTGGATGACTCTCCAGAGAATCACACCAACTGGAAGAAGCCAAACCCGAAAGGTTTCATTCTGCATGATTCCATCTATATAATATTCTCGAAATGACAAAATTACAGAGATGGAGAAGAGTTCGGTGGTTACAGATGGTTAAGGAGGGGTAGAGGCAAGGCGGATGTGGATGTGGCTGTACAGGCCAACGTGAGGGATTCCAACAGTGATGGATATGTCTCTATCTTGACTAGCAAGGTCAGTATCCTGGCTGTGATATTGTACTAGTTTTGCAAGATGTTGCCATTGGAGGAAGCTGGGTAAAGGGCACACAGGATCTCTCTGTATTATTTCTTACAACTACATGTGAACCTACAATTAGAATAAAATGGACAGAGATAAGACTGTACCTGGAAAACTGGCAGACATGGCCTGTGTACTGTGCTGCTTGGGGCCTCATCAAAGGCCTTACATCCCACAGGGAACCCAGATGGGACATACTGTGCATGCCAAAGAGTGCCTCAGCATTGAGTAGCCAGAGTCAGGGCTATGGGGGTTCCCTAGTAGACTGACAGTTCCTTATGAATCTCTGAAAGCGCTCCCTTCTCCTGCCCTGTTGGCAGGCCTCCAGGGAAGGAGAGGAGAGGAGGTGGGCTGGCAGAGGCTTACCCAAGTCAGCTCTGAGCTACTGGGCAGAACTAGCCAGACACCACTGTTCCAGCAGCCGACTCCAGTACAGTGAACATCTAGATCAACCTTGACCACAGGCAGGATGAAACAGGGACACAGGTAATATCCAGGAATCCAAGAGCATCCATCAGCAACCAGAAAATGAGCAGGCATCACTTGTCAGGGCTGTCTCTCCCGGAGCTAACAGCGTGTTTAGCTAAGATTCTTTAACAAGAGCAGTTTGCTCCAATTAAATAACCACAGGCAGGTTGTTTTTTTTTTTTTTTTTTTTTTTTTTAAACTCTAGCGCTCTGCCTAGTAACCAAAAAGTAAACATAACACAATTTATTACTTTACAAGGTCCAAGAAATGCTATTTTGATCTGTTAACAGCCTCTAATGAGGACGCAGCCATCAGTGATGTAAATAAGACATCAGAATGAGGGTACCAAGTTTGGAGGGAGCACTGACTTTAGAGGAGCTACTGTTTGCACTCTAGAGCAGCGGTCCCCAACCTTTTTGGCACCAGGGACCAGTGCGCCTATGAGAATCTAATGCCTGATCATCTGAGGTGGAGCTGAGGCAGTGATGCTAGTGCTGGGGAGCAGCTGCAAATTCAGATGAAGCTTTATTAGCTTGCCTGCCACGCCTGGTTCCTAACAGTCTGAGGGGTGGGGACCCCTGTACTAGAGCACCAGCCACACACCACTCCCGGCAGCATGCAAATGCAGGAGTCTATGAGAGGAAAATCATAATGATTTACAGAGACAAAGAGGAACACAGCCCAAGTAGATACTTTGAGGAAGGGGAGGCAGGCCGTTTGAGTGATGCAGGCCAGGAATCCCAGTGGGCTCTCTCTTTGCTCTAAACAGCAGTAATTCTGAACCTAAAATCTGTTCCCATTGGGCTTCTTTCTGTTCCTGCAACTCACCTAGCTGTTTCCTACCCCAGGGCCTTTGCACTTGCTGTTCCCCTGGCCTGAGTGCTCTGCCTCCAGATCCAGGCAGATTCCTAGGTCTCAGCATCCCTGCCTCTTCCTCAGAAGAGCCATTCCCGGCAATTCCTAGTTGCTTTCCCGCCTCCACCTCTACCCACAGTCTCTACCACATCTCCATGTCTCCTTCATAGCATTGATCTTCAGGAAGTTATCTTTTTTACAGGTTTATTATTATCACCAAAGCAGAAGTTCCATAGAGACGAAGCCTGTCTGTCTTATTCCCCCAGTTATCCCCATTACCTGACGCAGAAAGTTTCAATAAATACCTGTCGAAAGAATCAGTGAATGAAGCTGTCTCTTCCTGTAGCAGCTTTAATTCTGCCCAGGAAAGGCTGTGGTCACAATAAAGGTCGCTCTCATGGGGTTTTGCTGCCCATGGGAAGAGCGCCCACCTTTTCAGAAATCCCTTTGGCCGGAGCTTTTGTGATACGTCTAAGTCAAGTCAGAAGGCTGAGGCCGGGCTTAGGGCCCCCAGGCCTGTGTTTCCTACAGATCTGAGTCTGTGCTGTTGGCTCCCGTCTCTATCCACCAAGCTGGGTTCAGTCACTGTCTCCCCTCCTATTCCTGCCCAGAGCTGTTTGACTATGTGACAGCACTAGTATTTTCTAAGAACAAGACCACTTGATAATTCTAAACCCTCTCTTTCAATTTTAGATGTGGTCTATTGAGATTGCTTCCCAGTAAGAAAGACAGAGTCCTGGTCACAAGTCAAGAGACCCAATTCTAGCCTGGCTGTGCCAATGACTCACCCCATGACCTTAGGTGAGGCCCATCCTGTCTCTGGGCCTCTACCCCTGTAAAGGACATGTGGCCTCTCAGCTCCCATCTTAGCCAGGCACATTCCATCCTGCCCAGGGTTCCTATGGGGTATGGAAAGGCCTCCTTGACCCCTGAAGAGAGGTCACTGTGGTAAGCGCTATAGACTGAATGTTTGTGTCCCCCCAATTCATATGCTGGAACCTAATGCCCAGTGTGATGGTGTTTGGAGGTGGCATTTTCGGAAGGTGATTAGGTCACAAGGGTGGAGCCCTCATGAATGGAATCCGTGCCCTTATAAAAGAGACCTCAGTGATCTCTCCCTTTCTTTCTACCATATGAGGTGACAGCAAAGCAAGCCCTCACCAAACTCCAAGTCTGCCAGCACCTTGATTTTGGACTTCGCAGCCTCCAAAACTATGAGAAATAAATTACTATTGTTTATAAGCCATTCAGCCTCTGGTATTCTGTCGTAGCAGCCCAAAAGGACTAAGACGGTAAGGCTCCCTGGGCCTGGAAGCCTATCTTAGGAGCCATAGGCCTAACTCTGCCCTGGAGGACAGGCCCTCATGTAAGGTGCTACATGGTGCAAAGACTCACCCGCCCTGGAGAGGTGACTCCCAGGGAACATAGGGCTGGGGAAAGCAGGCAGTCTCTGACACCCGAGAGCTGTGAGACTTCCGGTGAGCCACTTCAGCATCCTGGACCTCGGTTTCCTCATCTGTAACTGAGGATAACAACAATAGTAACTGATGGGATTAAATAAAATAATGGTGCAAGAATACAGTGCCTGGCACACGGTAAATTCTCAATAAACAGCAGCTCTTAGTAAGATGATGATGGCAGTGATAGAGGAGAAGGAGAAGTTGAGGAAGAATTCACATAGAAAAAAGCTGGGGGAGGAATGATTTCTGCCTGTGCTATTGATAGGTGAAAGTGTGCGTGCAGGGGCATTAGTCTGCACACGATGGATGGAGAAGAGCTCCAGTCTTGCAATAGTAATGTGCCTTCCCAAGAGATCATTTTAATGTCAGATATCTCTAGAGTTCAATAACATGGAGAAATTATAGAAATCACCTAATCAGCTAATCTGGGCTCTTACGAGTAAAGATGTGATGGCCGTTTAAAGAGGCTGGTAAGTAATTTCTAGAAGCTGCAATTGAGTGAGCCATTTAAAATGATGCCTGTAAGACTGTAGCAATGAGAGGCAAGGCTTAGGAATTAAGGGGGAAGGCAGAATGCAAAATCGTGTTCTGATTACAGCCGTTTAGAAAAATGTCTATGGGCTCTGGAGGGGAAGATTAAAAACAGCTGATTTGCTTGAGTGATGGGATTAGGAGTGATTAAAGCAACATTTCTGTTATGGTTGTTACACTGTAGTTTGTGGCATTTTTAAGTAAAAAAGAGAAAGTGAGAATTGCACTGGTGTGTGTGTCCCTCAGGGGTCCCTGGCATTGTGCCTCTCCCTTTCTTTCTCTCTCTCTCCTCCCCGCCCGCCCCCATCCTCACTCTTTCATACTCAGCCTCTCCCACTTGCTATCATTCAAAGTGGCTCCAGCCCCGTAGGACCCGCTGAAGAGGGATCTTTGCAAAATTACGGCAGCTAAAAAAATATAGCGAATCGATCAGTCCATTAAAAAAAAACATCACTAGGCATTGTCATCGTTTTCAATACAATGGGAAGTTTAAAGAGACATAAGGGCAAAGGGAGAGTTGAGAAGGGGGAGCCAGACCACGAAAACGCATGCCTGCAAGGAGCCTTGTGAATCGGGAAACCCTGGGTCCTCAGGGGGAGAGGGCCACAGGGCCCGGCCAGCATCAGCCAAGAGACACTTCTCCAGGCAGTCCTCTCCGAAGAGGAGCAAATGTTGTATAGGGAGCAAAGTGGTCACTTAGGGATAGCTCTAGTCCTAGCTGGGGATGACCCCTTTGTGGGTAGCCAGGCTGGAGAAATGCATAGTCACTCATGTTCGAAACCACAGCAACAACGATCCCCATCATCGTCCGACAGTCAGTGGTTTTAGAGAATGCCCTGGGATGCCGACCTTGTCCTCCCATCCCTGGGACCCAGCCAGGCCGTACCTCAGCTCAGCTGTCATGGAGCTCAGGCTCTCCACTCCTTTGGCCTCCTCCAGGCAGAGTCCATAAACGGTAATCCACCTCCAGCAGAAACCAAGTCTCCAAAGAAACAAGTAACTTGCCAGAGGTCCAAGGTCACATGTCCTTGTAAAAGAGAGTGAGTCACACAAACACACCATGTTCCTGACGGTTTACCATAATGAAAAATATGGAGGAGCAGTCAAGTGCCTGGAATGAGGAAGGAAATTTAAAATGCCAGCAAAATTCCCTCTGTGCTCACACCACCCCCACAGGCCTGCAGACAGCTGGTCAGGCTGCCCAGAAAGCACGAGCTGATGCTAACAGCGTGAGGGGCTTGTGGTCAGGTAGCATGGAACTTCCCGGTGGGTGGGCCAATACACAGACAGACCCAGACAGCCTGACTGCAGTGCTGTCTTCAAGTAGAGCAAACATGAATGAGAAATGTTAGAAATGCAGAAGAGAGAAGAGAAAAACAGATTCCTGATCTCATGCTGCTCAATTAGCATGTCTGCACACAGATTCGGAAGGAGAAAAATTCGATTTTGAACTTTTGTGCTGCTCTGGGCCTTCTGATATTGCCGGCAACAAAAGCAAAACCACAATATTCCAGTTCAGCCCAGCACGGCGTCCAGAGCCCAGTGGACTGAACCCTGCTCAGGGCTGCTTTGGAGCTGACTTGGAGAAGCCCCGCATTCCTCGGCTGAATGCCCTCTCTGTTGGTCATTTCTGGTTTTCAGCAACACACTGTCACCAGAGCACATCTTATAATAATACAAGAGGAATTTCAGGGCATCAAACCGCATCTTCCCAGAGCTTTGGCGTCACCCCACTCGGTGCACAAAGCTGTCAGCGGCAGACACACAGATGTTCTTTGCTGCCTTCTTTCCTTTCCCTGCCCCACACCCCTTTAGAAGTCTCTTCCTCCTGCAGGAACTGTCCCCTCCCAGCTCTTTTGCTCAGTTCTGGAGAGCAGAGACCTGCTCAGATTATGCAACCCACTCAGACCATCCGGTTGGTGGCTTTCAACCAGCTTCAGCTGTGGACTCCTTTCCACAAGCAATCTTAGGTGGATCCCAACATATAATCAGACAGAAGTGGAACAACACTGGTCAAAATGGGGGTGGGAGCTCAGAGGCCTCTAGCCAGGACCCCGTCTGCTACCTTCCCCTAAGAACACCTCTTTCTGCGCATGGCATCTGCACTCTGACATGCCCAGTGATGCAAAGATAATACAGCAGGCCGGTGTCAGAGGCAAGACCAGGACCTAAGCTTCCTGACTGTGGCCAGAGGCTTCATCCGCCCCTTCCACCACCAGGAGAGCCCCCAAGGTAGTCTTCTCCCTTCCCCACACTACCTGGCTCCACTCCCCATTTTTTTGGTGTGAATCCAGTGGTTTCCAGGCCCGGATGGTTTTCTTCTTTCCTTCTTGTCCCACCCTGGCAGCTCCATGCAATGGATTGTGGGGGATAATGAAGGGACTGGGATCCATCAGGATTGTGCCGGGGCTGGGCTGTGCAGGGGCAGACAGACACCTGCTGCCACAAGGGTTATGGAACCTTCTCTGGGCATCGAACCATCCTGAGGAACCCACTGTCATTTCGTACCAGTGACAGCAAATATTGGGCTCGTAAGGACCGTGGATTCCTGTGAAGAGCCACCTTCCTCCTCTGCGAATGTCTTCAGCCACAAGTCACAGGAGGGGTCATGCAGTTTAAGTGGAAGGACACTGAAGTCAGCATCAGGTGAGTCAACTCGGGCGCCAGCATTGGGTGTCTCTGGACACCTCACTCTCCCTGGGATGGGGCTCCCTTCTATCGAGGGGCTCTCTTGCCACATCAGGGTACAGAGAGGGGTGTGAAAAGGCCCTGCCGCGTGTGCCAGTGAATAAAGTCAATGGCGTGTTGTGTAGAGCTTGGCCCTGGAGACAGACAGACCTGAGTTCCAGTGTGAACACAGGCGCTGTGGGACCTTGGACAGCAGGTTCCTTCATCTCTGTGAGCCTCATCTGCTGTGTAAGACCAGAGGACTCACGCTGGGGCGTGGGGCAGCAGTGTAAATTCTGGGTGTGTGTGTGTGTGTGTGTGTGTGTGTGTGTGTGTGTGTGTGTGTGTGTGTGTGTGTTCTACAAAGCACTCAGCACAAGGCCTGGCACCCACCACCGAATCCACATCCCCCTCTCACCAGGCCTGGCCGGCACTCCCACACCAACCGGGGCTTTCAGGCTTGCTTAAAAGCCCCCCAGCTGGGCCCTGGCCATGGCAGGGCAAACAGGCAAGGCAGATCCCTCCCATGGGTCCAGGCAGCTGTCCCACCTCAGTCTGCCTGGATCCAAGGAATGAGGCTTGCCTGTAAGGCCGGAGGGACGGGTCTGGGTCAGCTGAACCAATGACTATTGATCTAGCTGATCTGCGAGCCCCTTCATAATCTGGTTCAAAAAAGGCCTTTCTGGATGGACTGCAGCCAAGCTCTGCCCTGGCTGGACAGAGCCTCTGCCCTCCTGACTTCCAACTGAGTTGGGGCAGAAGCTGGTGTACACTAAGCCCTCACTTAATGTCGTCAATAAGTTCTGCGACTTTAAGCTAAATGTCTTATAACAGAACTAATTTTACCATAGGCTAATTGATATGAACAAGAGCTAAGTTCCTACGGCATCTCATCAACGATGTAAGAAAACAAGGTTGAACAAAAGGACGTTATTCGGGGACCTGCTGTATGTCTCTGCCATGTCAGGGGGGTGCCAGAGGCTCTGGCGCCCGCCCCCTCCCTGCCGCGTTCCTGAGCGGGTCCAGGCATTCCCCTGAGCTCTCAGGCTGCCCCATCCCTCTTACCAGCAGCATGAGTGCCTTCCCTCCCTGCTCCCGCTGCTCCTTTGAAGGCACATCCCCAGGGGGGATGGGGGAGCAGCCTCTCCGCTTCCCCCATTGCCTTTCCCCATCCCTTCCTTTGGGCTCCGTGGGGAGGGATGGAAGCCAGGTTTCCATTCTTCCTGCTTCTCCTGCATGCCTGCTCAGAAGTGCCTCCCCGCACTGCCGACACACACACAGGTTTCAGCCTACACCCCTAGGACAATGGGACATGCACACACTTGTTGCCTCTTTTAAGTCAATTTGACTGAATTTGACAATGAGGCAGTGGGCCCTAAGAAAAGCCCACAGGGAAACATAAATCCTAGATTTGTAAAATGAAAATATAGGCTCTTTATTTCGTTTAATTCCTATTTTCAAACCTAGCTATTTTTTTTTAATTAAATGGTGTATTTTGAGCAAATCATAGATTTGCATGCAGTTGTAAGAAATAATACAGAGATGCACTCTGTGCCCTTTACCCAGTTTCCCTCAACGATAAAGAACATCGTGTAAAACTAACATACAATATCACAACCAGGATGTCGACGTTGATACAAGCCACCCGTCATCGTCAGATCTCCCTGGTCCCACTTGTACTCGTGCGTCTAGTTCGACGTAGTTTTATCACCTGTGTAGGTTCCTGTGTGCGCCTGCACAGTCAAGATACAGAGCAGGTCCAAAGCCACTGGATCCCTCTCGTTGCCCAGTTATACGCATCCGCTTCCCTCCCACCCCTCACCCTTGGCAACTACGAACCTGTTATTTCTAACATTTTGCCATTTCAAAAACGGTATCCAAGTAGAATCGTATGGCACATAACCTTTTGGGATTGGCTTTTTTTCACATGGTGTAATTCTCTGCAGGGTCATTCAAGTTGTTGCATCAATAAATAGTTCGTTCCTTTTTTGCTGCCTTGAGAAGGAGAGAGGTAGTGAGCTCCCTGACACTTGTGTTATCGGAGCAGGTACTTGTGACATCCAGCTTCTGCTCGGCGGTATGCGACAGGGCATGCTTTCTCCACGAGAGAGATACAGGATAAAAAGTGGGTTTGGGGGAAACAAAACCCAACAGGATAAAAAGTGGGTTTTGGGGAAACAAAAAAGTCTCAGCTGTTAGGATGGCTGTGGCCCTCCAAAGGGCCATTGTACATAAACAGGTATGCGGTGTATCTGAGGTATCAAAATTTCATAGGAGGAGGCAGTTTAGGGGAAAAAAGTGTCTACCCAGGCTGAGACACACTGCTGCTGAGGGACTACTATGCTGGCAGGAGCTTGGGGTAGATGGTCTCGAAGACCATTCTTTCTAGTCCAGGGCTTTCCATAGAATCGGGGGCCACCTTTCTACCAGAACATCAGGAAAGACTGTGTTGGACAAGGGTCCTCATACAGATGCCTGAAACCTCTTGAGGAGGAAACAAAGCCAATCATCTACCTTGAGAGACTTACTTAATGCAAATCCTCCGGCCAAGTAGCAGACTCATTCACAGTAAAGGTGTAAAGAAATGATAACCATAAGATCAGAGAATGGACCTTTGGGGAATTTTATCTACCCCCTGTGGCAGCACAGGAGATTCTGGGGGAACTTAGGTCAGCTACAAGCTCACCTTCTTCTTGAAACCCAGTTGACTGCCTATCTACTGGCTCATGTAAAGATGCCCATCCGAAGCCCAACCGCCAAGCCGATACGCCAACCATGTGCATGGCGGAGGGGGCTGTGGGGTTGAGCAGCTCTCACCCGGTTTTCTCAGTGACTGTGCCAGTCCTGCTTCTCTCCCTGATGAGGATCCTGACGGATGTCCTGGACCTGGGGACCAGGAAGCAACCTGCATGTGGAGGAAAGGAGGAATATTCAGACAAAATTCTTATCACTGGTGACAGTTCTTTTTCAAGGTGGAAACACCACCAGGTGACAAGGGGTCCAAGCCACAACCACTGCGAAGACTTGGAACACTCTTGGGAACTGTGTTTGGAATTAAAAGATAAATCTCTGCGGGTGGCTCCATAGTGTAGTGGTTAGCATGACTGCTTTACATGCAGAAGGTCCTGGGTTCACGCCCGAAGTGGAGCCACAGACCACACTCGGGGTGCGCCTGGCCCCCGGGTGCAGGCCGCAAGTGTGTGGGAGGAGATGCCCCACCTTCAGAGATCCAGTTCTTAAGGAGAAGCAGCAACATCCATAGGTCAAGTCCATAGGTCATGGGTGG